CATGGCTACAAAACTACCATCTCAAGAGGAATGCGAGAACTGGACAGCATTTCAAGTTGCAGATCTCCTAAGACAGGTACTGAATGTATATGCAACACTCACAACAGTTCTTCTATATTCAGCTAGCAAATCTCTTTCTGAATTTATCTTTGTAAAAACTGCAGATATCTATCTTAAGATAGATTAGACAGCAGTTGCCACCTCCAAGAACTCATTTGTATTAATAATCTGTGAGTTTCTTGGTGTTCTCCCAGCTTTTACAGAAATTTAGTTCTGCTAGCTAAGATCTCCTTCATGGTAAATTGTACAAAAAAGTTTGCTCCCAAGAATATTTCTTAGAATAGAAAAGATAGTTGAGGCCATACTTTCTTTCTGGGAAGAAATAACCATTTCATTGGAAGCAGGCATAATTTTTTTTATTTGAACATTACTTTAAAATTTACAGTTTGTCAACAACAATCTACTTTTCATCTTTTTTTCAACATGCATGTACCTACAGTAGTTTCTAGATGTAGTCTTAAGCTTAAGGTACCTGAAGTTTTGCTTTTTTAAATGATTCCTTTGTCTTCTTGTACCTTTCCTACTTCTACAATGTCTGCAATGCAAAGTCTATGTAGGTAACCTGAAGTGCACAAAACACTCCAGACCTGTCTGCAGTTATCCCTTCACTACTTGAATAATCTCTCCTCCAAGATGTTTTTTTTAAATCAGATTTTTCCATGTAACATACTGAACATTATAAGTCAGGTTTTACTGCAGCTTACCTGTATGAGCTATATATAACCTCCTTTTACGTTTGTTTGTTTTTTCAGTGCAAGTTTCTCACTATGACTTTACATCTAGGATTTTTCTGACCTGTGTGCATTCTACTTCTAACTTTGGTACACAGTCTTTGAGAGTGCCTGCTTTACACCAACCATGAGAACTTAGTCTGCTATCAAGGTTTCTCATCCTTTTTAATTGAAGGAGCATGCCATTTTTTTGAGGAAGAAGTAGAGCATTATGAGATGTTTCTATAATAGTTCCATTTATAACCACATAAGCAGGACAAAATTTAAAATGCTCCTGTATGACTTATTTTTGCACTTTTGCATTGTGTGAATACCCTATTCTCATGCATGTGTAATTAAAAAAAAAGTTTTACAATGCAGATGGATCACAGGCAGACCACAGTTGCTAGGCTGAAAAAGCTAACTTGTTCCACACAGTTAATACATAGCTTAGCTGATACATTATGATTACGCTGTGAACTTCATTATTAGCACGAAAAGTTGTGGTAATTAATCAGCTCAAAACCTTTCATCTTAAAGGAAATCAGATTAACAGAAGATGTAAAAACATCAAAGTCCCCTGCAATTCTACACCAGACTACAAAACTGAAAACTAACGACAGTTGTTCAACAACTGAAACTTCCAGGAAAACTTCAGCAGGCAAGCTGTTAGCTACTGAGTTCATGCTCTGTAAGAGAAGTGTTAGGACCTTACTCTTCCATGTGTACATCAAGTTGTTAATGCTTGTACCTATGCTTACACCACTGATTAAAATAGCTAAGTGATAGGACAGCTACAGCATAACCAACATTTAGTGTTTGGCCGCTCTGTGCGTCAAGGCACGGTGCTGGCAGCCGTTCAGCCCCAGCTCACCTCTGGCCAGCTTGCATAGTGCTAGTCAGCTTCCAGTAGCAGCGACCCATAAGGAGCATGACCTGACCACTGGGTACTACCATCAGCTCTGCAGTCAGCCTATGTACCCGCAGATGCAAGCATCATGCCCCAAAGACAGGGCGCACACACACACACACAAACCATAAAATAACAGCATTAAGCAGTAAGGTTGCAGGATGAAGTACTTGGATGTTAAGAGTGCCAGGACAGGGTTTACCTCTATAACCAGACTTCACCTCCTTTTACATATTACAACAGTCTGTAACTGCTTCTTCATGCACTGCTTTTCCTGTTCCCAAAAACCTGCTTCTTTCCATGCAAAAAGCCTTATGTTTTGTGCACTACTCTGGGCTGATACAGAAATTGTAAGATGCACAAGGCCAAGGCTTGCTGGAAGAGAGGATGAACTCATAGTAACATCAGCTGACTTCTGCCTTGAAGTATCAGATGCTGTCACTGCCCCAGCACAGCACTCTCACCTGGGGCACTACAAGTCACCTGTACGCAACCTGCCGTTGCCTAGGTGCCTGATGTGAAATCCCAGGCTCTGATTTGCAGAAGTGGTGAGAACCGAGAATCGCAACCAAAGTCAGTGGGAGCTCTGCTCAGAAGATAAAAACGCCAGGTTACTGAATATGATATATATGACACCCCTGTATGTGTATATATTATATTTATATATTTTATATGTAAACAGGCCCCAGGTTTGAGTAACGTATAGTACAAAAGAAAGCAGGGAGCACTGAACAGACTGCGATATGTTGAACAGCAGTTCATGACAGTCACATCAGCTTATGTGCTCTGACTGACACTGCATCCTCTAGAAGTACATTGGAAATAAAATGGTGATGGTTCAGTGACCATCACTAAACACAAACAGTGAGGCATCAGCTTGTCATCTACTTGTTTAACAAACTAACAATGTAAAAAGACCAAATTTTCCCTTACACAAAAGGTGCATGCTTGATTAACAGCATAACACAAAGCAAAAGAGAAAAGGAACTCATTGGAGCCAATAATTGGAAATAGATGGGCAAAAGCAAAGAGCAGAAACTATGCATTATCTCGATCCTTCTCCTTTCCTCCAGTGTCAGTACAATGGTGCTAGTGGCGAATTAACACTCCCCACAGCAACCCTCTCACATGTGATGTGATCAGCGATCATATCTGGAAGCCACAATTGCACTGTAAACAATCAGCACTCTCCCAATCATAGAATAAAAGAACAATTTACAAACTCAGATGCAGAAACAATAGTTTATAGACCAAACAAACTGTCTGAATAGCTCAGAAACCCTGACGTTAAAAACCAAGCAGATTTATGCTTCAGAATTTTCTGCTTAGATCAAAATAAGTAGATTAAATATTTTATTCTGAACATTTCTAAGGGCAAACAGTTTTAAGGAAAGTATTCTAGAAATAAAGAATTACCTTAGAAAGACCATATAACTATTTCTATGAGAAGAATTTATTTTCACTAATGGCCCTCTGTTAGTCTCTGTGTTAGTCATTACTGCTACAGAAATTTACATCTATAATATAGGGGACAGTCAGCAAGGACTGATAAATGTGTGACAAATGTAACGTTTTCCCTATGTTTTGTACTCCAGAATGTAACAATTTGTTTTAAATTCTAAATGTACTTGCTTAGAACAAACAAGCATTTAAACTGTCACTGATCCAATCCTGGAAAAACCTGGATGCTCACTGTAAGCTTCTTATAAACTGCAGGGAGATCTTGCACACCTATGGGAAGCAGACATCTGCCTTCTTTCTGAGCATCAAGATCATACGTTTAACAGTTTTCCAGAGCTCCGTGGCTCACGTCTGAACTAATGAAATGAATGTATAGGATCTGGTTTTAAAGTTTACTTTGTTAGTGGAGCTGAAACAGATAGACTGAATACTTTAAGTATTACAAATACTGAAACTCATTTCAAGAGCTGCACATCCTTAATGAAAAGAGTTATAGATTTTCTTTCTACTTTGTGTGTAACAGTGCAATTTCTTTGAAAAGCCAGGCTAAAGTATATAACACAGCAATCAATGAGACTTCTAGGACTTTTTCAGCCCAATTCTATTCCTTACTACTTTTTTTTTTAATCAAGGAAATCCAATGTATCTACTTTTTTCTCAGTTACTATTTAGTTTCTGAGATAAGGAGATACTACTTCTGGGCGTTCTTATTTCATTTTACTTTATAATCAACAACAACTTGCTTAGGGGAAAAAAAAGTCATGTTACTGAGAAGAGATCCTGTTTCTGAATACAAATCACTTTCTAGCAATGCCCATCTGTCATGATAACTGAAGGCCTATCCCATGCTCTCATACCACAGATGCACCTAGCCAGAACATCTGCTTCTAGAAATCAAACAGCAGCCAAAGCAGAGTTGGTGAACACGCATGTAAAAATCAGTCTCTCTCTTATCTGGCCTTCAGTTTCCAGAGCAAGCAGCGATGTAGCATTTCCTGGAGTGATGGCAGAGCTACCAACCTGCTTATAATTCTGGCCACCTCTTATTCTATGGCAATTAAATTTCCACAATTTGTTTCTGTTGTGCTCTCTGCTCAATTTATGTTATACTTGCTGCTTCACAATTTCACCTTGTCTACTCCGTTTATGATTTTATCAGCCCTCACCCCCTGTAATCTCTCTTCCAAAGAAAGCAGTAATATTCTGTCTTATCTCTTATGTGGAAGCTACCACCTATTTCTGAGCACTCTGTCCAATATTATCTTATAGCAATCCATGCCAAGTGGAATATATAAAGATTTCAGAAATCGTATTAGTATTTCCATATTGAAATACTTAAATTTCTTTATATGTAAGTCAAGTTGCATACTTTTACTAATTCTGTTCTTTCTCACCTCAGTTTGGAATGTCTGAATCTGCTGCGGTTGTGGAAAAACTGGGCATGAATGGATCTCAGTTCTTGGTAAGCAAGCCTTTCATCAGGCATATCAGTCAGTCATATTTCAGTGTAAGGCTTGTATTCCTTACAGCAGCAAGAAAGAGTCTGGCATTTTCTTTCTTTGCAGCTGCGTTAGTCAGTTGCTCTGGTTCCACACAAACGAGGTATTTACATCTCTGACTTGAGGAACCTTCTCCTACATAAGTCCCAGCCAGCCCTTCCCCCCCTCCAGAAAGGGTATAGGTGTCTAGAATCACATGCTAGTGCAGACATGGGAAGGAATGTCTCCTATGAAAAATGACTCAGTTTTTCTTTAAGAAGCTATATACTTTATAGTTACTCTTTATGGAAAAGCTTTTCCATAGAACTTACATGATTAAAAACATCTACTACATGAATTTTACATTGTTTACACAGGCACAGGGAAAAATGTCTAAAAAATTCTGAGTTTCCTTTCCACTGAAGTCTACAGAGTTTTTTTTTGCATAAGGATGTGGTTAAATTGCTCTCAACTTAGCAATTAGAAAGGAACAGAATAAGTCCCAGTACTGGAGCAAGCCTAGTGCTAGGGCAGTTCCTCCCCCACCGATTCCATTCATTGAGTTATTGAAGTAAGAGACCTCTAAGACCTAGTTTAAAGGTAAAATAATTGTTTAAAGGTATTTATGCCCTGCAGAGAAACTGTGTTTGCTTGGCACTTTGTTACTCAGAGCTGTTTGCTGGGTGCAGTAGGAGTTATATCTGCTGGTTATGTTAACAGAAGCCCCCATCCTGCAAACTGATTAATTAGAACACAATTATTCAGGTGCATGCAGGTTTACTGTAATATTGCATGGCCAAAGTGTAAAACTGGGATTTACTAACTGCTTGTACTGCCTGAGGTCTAACAAAACAGTCAGAAATATAGACTGGTTCCTGTTCTGTTCATACATCATAAATTGCTAAAGACCCAGTAGTCACAGCATCTTAATGCTGCGTGAGGAGGCTTGAAGTTAAAGCTAAAGGTGCTTGTGCTGGCTCCTTCTACCTGCTGCAAGTAGCACCATACCACAGCAGTGGGAAAGCATATGAGAAATTTTTAGACATTAGTGGTAACCTAATAAAATATAAGTGAAAAAAGCAAAGAGGAACCATGGGTGACCTTTGTAAGATGCTCTGTGACAGGATATTTAAAAAGCAATATGTTTAAAAGTGAAAACATTTGCTAATATGCTCTCCAAACTATATATTTTTTATTTTGCACTGCAGAAAACATGGCAGTATGTGTGGTGCAATGAGCTACATCCATTTTTCATGTCATTGTACAAAAAGGAGACAGGTCTCCCATACATAAGACTCTTAAAGCTTTCATGCATTCTTTAATTGAATTGCTCAGTAGCTTTGTCAGCATGATAAATCTCTAATAAGCTGTGCTTGAAACAGAATTAATTATGACAATACTGAAAAAAGAACGATTCAAAAACCTATATTGTCAGGATGTTTTTGGTATCATTAATAGCAATATTTGACTAACTACAAGATACTGTTCTCTATGTACAAGCTGATATGTACGCTTGTAAGTACATAAAGCAATAGCCTATTTGTCTATTCCAAGCTCCTGGCCTAGTATACAAGGACATTGCCATTCCCTAACTGTAAGGGATCTTCTGGTTTGTACATAGATGTCAGAATTTGTAATTCCAAACACTCAATTACTTTTATTACTTTTGGCAAGTACCTTAGCTTTTGCAGCCTAATTTATCATTCAGGAATAGTGAGACTGATTTACTTCACTGCACTCTGGCTATTGCACATGTGGGTATAGAGGCAGATGTAGCTCTTATGCCGTGTACGAACAGTGTGCCTGCCCAATGCTAGATTGGTATTTAGTACTTAGATGAAGGGATGTTTTTATTAAGATCTCTGCTTGGTATCTTCAGACAGAAGATTCCCTCCTAATCAGGCAGGGAGAGAAGAGGGAAGCTACCTGTGGTGTCTTCCCTGCAACTGTAATGATCTTTTGCCCACTGTACACTCAGGTAGACACAGCCTTCTGCTTTGCCTTTGCTTGGGTTGAAAGCCAATCCTTTGCTGTGCGCCACTGCAGAAAGCACATCAGGGTTCCTGAAAAGGCCGAGAAGAGCACAAGCTCTCACTGAAACAAGAGCTACCTTAATGCCTCCCAGTAGCCTCGTACAATTCCCAAATGAGTCTTTGGTAGTGTAATCTTCACAAACAGTATTATAAAAAACAACTTACAAGGTACATTCCTGGAAAGCAATCTCGTGTGTGACACTTACCACAGCATATAGCCACCAACGCACCAGCTGTGCCTGTTTCCTGTGTAGGTTCAGAAGGGGCACAATCCTTTCAATTTTTTCCTTTTAAATTGTTTAATTTGAAAATGCTTTCAAAAGTTCAGGAAATGCTGCAATAAGTAGTTATCCTAAAGCTTACCACAACTATTGTGAACTTCCTAGAGAGGGCTTCCTGTGCCGTGTACACTTCATATCAAATGCAAGTTATATTTTATTTGAAAATAAGTCAGATGGATTTGTTAATACTAAGGTTTTTTGAAGCTTAAAACATTCGGTCAAGACATGCATACACTATAATGCCATACATGCGATAAGATGGCCACAACACCTTCAATCAATTTTGACTGGTTTCAGAATAGGAATCAAGTAATCAACATTTAGATAGCTTTCTTTGAAGATTTCATGTCTTTGAGTGGTTAAAGGACAACCACTTTTATAGTAATATTACTTGGTACGTTTATAAAACAAACGTTTCAAACTGATCTATTATAGGAAAAACATAACATGCATTTTTCATGAACTTAGAAATAACTCTTCCTTTACACTTCTGAGGAAGCTAAAGATGCAAAGGGATAGTGCATTAGATCTGAAGTGTACTGTGCAGTTTCATTTTCCTTTTCTATCAATAGTACTATACTTGTGGTAGCTATTCAACATGCTGGTCACATCTGAATGATGCTAATCTGGTCCTAATGTGCAAATCAGCATTTAGCCACAGCTGCACTGCACAGAGCATATTATATTCTACTGCTTTTTGAGGTCTGAATTTACTGCACTGTTTCTGCTTTTCTCTTCCGAGTTGCTTGTTTCATGTTATTTTTAATTCATTTTTATATTTCCAGCAACAGACTGAAAAAGGCCTAAAAATCAGTGAATTTTGAGCCAAACTTGAGAACTAACAGACAGTATACTTTCTTATTGGATATATACATAGAAATATATTAAAAGAAAGCTTGAACATAGCAAGAAATAAGAGAAATACATAAAGGCGGTCTAGAATCAGGATGTCTGACCATTTTGCTGTTTCAAAAGGTGCTTTGAATAGCATGGCTGGAATATAAGTGCCTGTTTTGGGGAGTGCCAAGCCTATTTTCTTCACTAATACATTAGGGGTTTGGGAGAGTAAAGGACTGTACTTTGTCTCCCTGTGGAGGATTTGTGCCCCTCTGCCAGTGTCAAACACCTCCAGAGCTTCCCAGGTTCAACTCACTGAGAATGTACTTTGACATGCATTTATGTTAACATTAATCCTGAGAATAAGCCATGCTTGCCTCGCTTGGATGCTCCTTGCCTTCCCTGCAGGAAAGCAGCAGCAGGCAAGGGGCAAGAACACCACCTCCTTTTTCTAGTGGCCAGAGTAACTGAAAATACCATATCTGCAGCTCCTCTGCAGGCACCTGGATGCCAGAGTCCCACAAGTCCTAAACCACTTCCTCAGCTTCAGTGAAGACACCATCTCCACTCTGCAGTCACAGTACCAGGAATGATATTTCAGTGGCATGGGGGAAGGACAGGCAGAAGGATAGATTAAAGTTGCTTTGGGCTCCTTGGGTATCTATCAGAAAAGAGCTAAGCAGCATCAAGGACTGTTCAATTGGATTTGACATCCACCTCTGCACACTTAGCTTTGGAAATAAAACATGGACTGCAAGTTTCCTGAGGAAAACAATGCTATGTAGGGTCCTACCTAAACCACGAGCACACAATTTGTTAGAAACTCACCAACTACTTTGTCATGACCTAATGCCTTGGGCAAGGACTAAGAAACTCTTGCAGTGTTTTCCCCACGCACCAAGCGTGTTGAAGATCCCTGCCAACACTGCAACTAAGGTGAAGGCTGCAGCACAGGCCAGTCAAGAGCTTGCATATAGGCAAGATCTAGAGAAACATGACAAAAGTTGCCACAGTATCTTCAGTGTGAGCCAATCTCTCAGGCTGGTTTGTGACAGCTCAATGCTATAAATCCATAGCCGATGTTATTTAACTGCCCTCTGCTTATCACGGAAAGTCATAAAAAAAAGGGGCTTTTCTGTCATCACACAACCTCAGTAGCAAAGTTCTGGGGTGCCCAAGGTTTTTATGCAAATATAAGTGATCTTAGCACCGTCCATCCTGTCTTTGGCAAGCATGCAAGGTCTCCGAGGCAAAAGCAACAATTGTTCATACAAGAGTACTGTTATAAGAAATAAATATTTTCAGCTGCAAAACATAAGGCCACCTAAGTGCATGAAGTTCATTGCTTTTTTGCAATTTCTATTCCTTCAATACTTTTCTCCCATTCACATTTAGCTACCATCTTGCACATCCCTGCTCCCCTTTCCCCAGTATGCTTGGCCTGTGCCAAGGCCCATGGGTTTTCCTCCTTTCCTTTCTTCCTGGAAAGACGCCCCCCCCAATTAGAGGCAGCGGAGCTGGCTCAGTTATGAAAGGTATTCTTTCAGAAAGGCCTCCCTTTCCAGGTATTTCTCCAGACTCACCTTTTTAACAAAGGGCCTAGATCCTGGTAGGAGCCAGGTGCCCCAAGAAGAGTTGAACTTGACTGCTTTCTAGGTCATTTTGAACATCACCATCCAGTATGCAAGGAGGGGGTTGTTTCTGTTTCTAACTAAGTAGGAAGCTAGTTCTTAAAAGTAGAATTATGGTAATTTTAAGAAGAGGACAACAGTAAGAAAAATACCACAGAAAAAAGGCAAAGCATTGCTAAACGTACAAAGCAATCCAAAACAA